GCGCCTTGCCCACGCGCTCCCGCGGCGCCCCCTCTCGGCTCTGGGGCGCTGAGCCAGGGAAGGGGAGGTGGGAGTCCGCTCGATGCCTGCCGGTCGCTAACTCGCAAGTTGCCGGGCGAGTGGGCGCCCGAGGACTGCCCTCGGATTTTGGGGAACCAGGGCTCCGCGGAGAACCCTTACGAGCCGGCCTGCTCCCCGTCACCTTTGTGTGGCCTTAGAGCTTGGAGTTGGAGGCGAGGTGTTAGGTCGGACCCTGGTTTCGCCTTCCCGTAAGCTTTCAGAGACCCGCTTCAGGGGAGGGCGCCCCTCTTCCTTAGTGCTACTAGCGAAGCGGGGATAACTGGCTCACCATATTCCCTCCCACCACCACCACCACCACTGTCTATTCGATGGGGGACAGCAGGTGGGTGCCCAGGTTGGGCAGCTTTCTCTAGAATCCCGCTTCTAGCGCACAGTCAGAATCAGGTTAAGGCCTGGATGCCCCTCATGGAACCAAGACGAGGTACTGCGGAGACACTCGAGAGCGCAGGGCGTAGCGGGCCATTCAGCATGCGCTCGCGGCGACATCTGGTGGTGCAGCTCGTCCTCATTCTAGGGAACAGTGTTCTGGCTAACCAGAGGATGCTGAACCCTTCCTATGATATACACCCCAGCCCAGTGAGCTAGGAGACTGTTGAACTCAATTTCGGTTGAAGAAATTGAGGCTCAGGGACATGGAGGTGTTTTCTCAAAATCACCAGCTAGTGAATGGCAGAACTAGGTTGGAAACAAGTCGTGCCTGGCTCTAGTAAGCCACTCGCCCCCAGGCCAAGCCTGGCTATCATTCAGAATTGCTTTTTAAAACCACACAGTCGTTCCCTGAAAACTACGGTTCATGCATTCATTCACATTCCACAAATGTCTGTGCCAGCCACCATGGTGGGGAACCATGGATACAACAAGGAACAAGAAAGACAAGGGTCCTTCTCTCTTGGAGCTTGTGAGGGAGACAGACTGGAAGTAGGCAAATACATAATTTCAGACATCCCAGGGGCAAGTGAAGATAATAAAATAGAATTATGGGAGAGACAACATTGGGTGCTAAAAGCTGTATTTTAGATAAGAGGAGGTGGTGTTCCAGCTGAGATCTGAAGGACACAGTATTTGGGGGCCTGACATTTCAGGAAGGAGGACAGCAGTAAAAAGGAGGTAGACATGAGCCCCAGGAGGGGAGGGGAGGCTGTGCTCAAGAAAATAAGACCATTGAGTTAGGAGGGAGGAGATGGGTTTGCAGATCCCGCAGAGCTGTGTGGTCACATGTCAAGGATCTTAGATTTCTGTGGAAAGTTTGGTGGGAAGATATTGGAGGGATAGGAAGGAAAGGTGACTCATCTGATCTGGGTGTTCACAAGCTCCCCTTGACTGCCCCATGGAGAATCCACTGTTGGGCAAAGTGGAGCAAGGTAGACCAGAGAGCAGACTACCCACCAGTCTAGGTGTGAGACTTGGTGGTTTTGATTCAAGTGACAGTTTTGAAACATGGCCACATAACTATTCAACATGCCTCTTCTCAAGAGGTGGGTCCTCTGTGCTCTCCCTACTTGAATCTGCATGGGTTTGTGAGAGTTTAGACCAATGAGGTGTGACAAAAATGATGCTGCAAGACTTGCAAAGCTATGACATAAGAGGTAATGCATCTTCTGCCTTGTCTAGAACACTCTTGTTGGAGACCTGAGCCACAGTGGAAGGAGTCTGGAGGCTGTCATGTTGTGACGAAGTCCAAGCATATTTAGTGGTCACATGTAAGTGTTCCAGTCTACAATCCCAGTTAAGTTGAGCATCGGAGTTACTCCGGCCCTGGTGTCAGACATGTGAGTGAAGGAGCCTCCAGATGATCCTAGCCCCCAGCCATCAAGTCATCCCTGCCTTCCAGTCTTCCCAGCTGAAGCACTATAGACAGTGGCTTTTGTAGTATTCTACACTGTGCCCTGTCCAAATTCCCGAGCCCCATAACTTGTGAGTATAATGAAATGGCTGCTTTATGGCACTATGTTTTAAGGTCATTTGTTACACAGTAGTCATAACTAGAACAATTAGGGTGGAAGTGGGGCACAGAAAGGAAGCAAGACTCTGAGACTAAGACAAACAGAACTGACAGAATTTGAAAGGATTCAGTGGAGAGGTGGAGGGGTATCGAGAAGAGAGAAATGAACAATGACTCATGCTAGAGAGGATGGAGGTGTCAATGAATAATGGGGGGGTGGGAGAGGGAGTGGTGAATTGGAACAGCCAAAGTTTTGGCAGGAAAAGTCACAAGGTCTGTCTTGGCCCTGTTCCTTCTCCTGTATTCTTTCTCTTCCTCCTTCTGATGCAGTCAGCACTAAGCCCTCATCGGTCTACTTCCAAAGCATTGCACAAATGTGTACCTCTTTTTCTATATGTATTGTCACTCTCTGAGACCAAAGATTCACCCATGTCACTCTCATGACATTGGGGAAGGTGCTGGGAACATAGTAGTGGATCAAACAGAACCAATGTCTACTCTTCTGAAATAACAAGTCTGAGGACTGACTTAATAACCAAATGCATAGATAGCACTTACTATGTGCTAGGCATTGTCATTAAGAACTTCAGCATATTAACTCATTTAATCCTCTAACAGTACTGATATAGGTGCTGTTCTTTTTGTTATTATTATTATCTCACAATTATCATTATTGTATAGTATGGGGAAAACAAATCATGGAGGGATTGAATAAATTTCCAAACTCCCACAGGCAGTACATGGCAAAGCTGGGATGTTAACCTAGAGAGTTTTGACTTCGATATCTGCCCTTAACCCCTCAATTATACTGACCACCTAATGGAGAAAAGAGACTTGAACCACTGCAATAGAAAAGAATGTGTTAGGCATCAAGTTGGGTGATGCACAGTGGACTGTGGGGAAACAGAAACAGGGACTCCCAATCCAGGGGAAGGTTTCTTGGAAGAGGTATTCCTAAACTGAGATCCTAAAGGAATGATTTGGTGTTAACCATGTAGAAGTTTTGAAGTTAGAGGAAGCAGGGACCATGATGGTCTGAAGGGTCTGGAAGATGGAGCATGAGAGGCGATGGGGGTGAAGGAGGGTTGCAGAGAAGGGGCCCAACAGGGAGACTGGGAATACATTTAGGGAATATAAATAAGTTTGGGCTTTATCATAAAAGGAAGCAGAGGTGTCACACTGTCCAATCTATGTTTCAGAAGGCTCATAGCAGCTGTTATGGGGAATCAGTAGAAAGGGCAGTAAACAAGGGCAGGAGGTAAAACAGTTATCTGGGGAGAAAAGGCCCAGGCCAGACAAGGGTAGTGGCAGATGGCATGGAGAGAAATGGATGGATTTGAGAGCAGAATAGACAGTATGAAGTGGCCTCAAGGACAGGATTCTGTCCTGTGGGACAATATTGCTGGTGATGACGACGTGGAGCTTGTCAGAGAAGGATCCAGTGGGAGGGCGATGAACTTGATTTTAGAGGTGCAAGTTTGAGGTATCTGTAGGTCACTGGAGGGGTGGCTGAATATGTGTGCTGGACACTTGGGAGGGAAAGTATGGGCTTTTGAGATTGACAGATCTCCACAGCTAGAAGTGGGCAGTCCTTCAAACCAAGGCCATCGATGGGCTGCTGTGGGAGGCAAGAATACCCAGTGGAGAGAGCCCATTGCAGAGCCCAGGAACTCCGCATGATTTAAAGAACCAACTGAGGAAAAGGAGCAGCTAGAAGCAACTAAAGAAGACTAGCTAGAGCTGTAAGAAGTTAACTCAAAGAGCTAGAAAAGGAGCAAAGAGTGTTCAGGGTTTGGCCTTGCAGGGAAGGCAAGGACGAAAAAGGGAGATCATCATCCTAGCTTCCAAAGCTCTTTACACTCTGGTTCCAAATTTCCCTTCCAGCTTCCACTTTTGCCAAATCCGCTGTGCCCATATCACAACAAATTAGTAGATTGCCACAAATATTTACAAAATGAAAATAGATCAGAAAACAACAGAGGGCATTATACATAATAAAGTTCTAATTGCGTGTGTGCATATATATTGTGTGTTTGTCTCATATGTATGTATGTATTGTGTATGTATGTCTATTGCAGGTTGTGATTGAAAAAAGAAGTTGAGAGACTTTTTATTCCACTCTGTTATTTCTTTGCATATGCCTGGTATGCCTTTGCCCCTCTTTTCCACCTGGCAAACTCCTAACTCATCCTTCAAGCCCCACCCAAATAGGACCTCATCTGAAAAGCCTTCCTTGATTAACCTTGCTTCTGTCCTAGGCACTTGGTGTCTTCTTCATTTACACATTCATCAAACCTTCGCTGGTCCATTGAAGAAAGTTCTTCTTTGGCAGTCATGCTAGCCCAAAGTCTTTCTCCTCATTTGGCTCTCTCTTGAGATCCTGGATCAAGGGAGGAGAAGGGCATGTCTCTATAGCAGATGCTGTTCTACTTTCAGTCATACAAACATGCTTGGGGCAGGGGTATAGTGGGCCAGGGACTTTGACTCCCTCTGCTGTATACAGAAAGAGAAGTGGCTT